GGGGGACAGAACCAGGAGAAGGGGTCAGTTCAGAGGAATCATGGTACCAGATTAGGATGATTAGGAATGTCAATAAAAACAGATAAGATCAGACTTAAGCCTCTGGCTGCAGCCTGTAGGAGCCTCGGTTGGATGTCCAACTCCTCCCACATCCAACTCGGCCATTTTGATTAGGTCATGTGACTAGCAGCTTTCTGAGGTGGAAACGAAACTTTGCCGTCTGTACGAAATCGGAAGATAAACGATGTCCTGACCTTAAACCTGACCCTAACCCTGACCACTAACCCTGACCCTAACCCTGACCCTAACCTGACCCTAAACCTGACCTTAACCTGACCCTAAACCTGACTCTAACCCTAACCCTAACCCTGACCACTAACCCTGACCCTGACCTGACCCTAAACCTGACCCTAACCCTAACCCTAAGCCTAACCCTAACCCTAACCCTCCAGCTTTCATAATTGTGAGAAATAAATATGTTTTGGTTAAACTTGTTTGGACTTATTGTACAAACCTATTTAACATCCACTATTTTAACATAATATTATGTATAGAGTTTAATTCAGTGTTTGCAAGATTCATTTCACTATTTTTAAATGAATCTCTATATTGCCATGAAGCAATTAGGATTTTCTTGCCTGGGATCTTCCTATTGGTGACTTAATCAAAATGGCCGACTTGGATGTGGTGGAGTTGGGTATCCATTGTTGGCTTCCTGCAGTCTGCAGCCAGACAGATTAGTCTCAGACCCCTCTGTAACTTTGATAAACACAACAAGGAGAGGAAAACACTTTCTTAGGTTGGACTCTTCTTCTTGGAAGCGGAAGTTAAAACAGACTAAAACCGGTTGATCTCCTAACTTTTTGCAGGATGTTCCATACAGATTTATTTTCTTTTTATTTACAGTCTATTGTCGCCACATTCTAAATGTGTAACAGAAAAAAGAGCCGATTTCATTAAAACAAGCCTTACTTAGTGTCTGGATTTAATTTTTTCCCCCTTTTTAATTGTTTTTCAGTTTTTAAAGTGCTCTAATTTGCTTTGAAACTTTTTTTAACAGAATGATTACACGATGAAAACACGTGATGAGGTCTCATATGTGTGTCACAACAGAAACCCAAATGGGGTTTTAAACGCTGACGTCATCAGACAGGCGTGGCGTTCAGGGGCTTTCCGGAGGCAGAGCGCCACCAGGTGGTGGTGTGTGACAGCAAAGGAACATAAAATGATCTGAACCGGCTCTTTTTGGTCTTTTACATCTTTCATACATATATGAGATATATTAAAAATAAAATTCCTGTTTTTGACTTAATGAATCATAATAAATCATGAATGAATCATAAATAGTTTGAGGCAACTTCCTGTTAAATAACGTTTTTTCCAAATGTGTTATTAGATAGCGTCATTTAGTGTCTTTTCACATCTTAAAGGGTTCTTGATTTAGGGGATTTTAAGGCAGACTGGAGGAAATAAGCAGTTTTCTGAGCTCCTGTAACATCAGAGTAATTTGACTCTTATCTCCAGTCTGATAACACCAGAAAACATCAAGTCAAGTCAGAATTAGAACACACTTCAAAGCGATTTCTTTAGGGAAAGTCTTACGTACACCTAATGTTTTCCTTTTCTGTGGCCGAGCTGAAATAAACCTTTAAGATACCCTTCTTTGTCAACAACACAGCAGTTTCCTGACTCATAGTTTTTTCTCCCTGGATGCTGATCGGGTGACGACTTGACAAACAGGTCGGTTCAGCGTTCGAAACCATCCACCGATTTCAAAGAAAAACAAACAGAGGGAACATGCAGTGCAGCAGACTTTATTCAGACTTTACACCAAACCAGAAAAAATCACAGTGCCATTAAAAGAGGATCCTTCCCAGCTTAAAGCTGCTTAAAACGTATAAAAAGAGTCAATAAATCTGACGGGAAAAAATGCTGTTTGTGGGAAAGTGGGGGTTAACTTGAGAGTGTAAAGTGCAGAGTTCCTTCATTACAAAGAGGAGGGTCCTTCTCCCCCCTTTTGATTCTTCTGGTCCTTCATCCCACCAGAGTCCTCCTCCAGGGTCAGATGTAGGTCTTCGTGGGGGTGGACGACCTGTTGGACTCCCCTTTGCTCTTCTTCTCTGACCTGTTCAGGAGGTACTTCACCGAGGGGCTGTGGTCTTCCTCCTTGGGGGGGCAGCTGGTGCAGAGCAAGGCCCCCCCCCAGCAGCAGCAGGCCGGCGGCCCCCCAGCCGATGTAGAGCGAGGCCCCCATCTCCCTCCGCTGGGCGTCCACCAGCAGCGGGTTGTAGAAGTCCCGGACGATGATGCTGGCCGTCCAGGAGACGGGGACCAGGCAGAGGAGCCCGCTGACCACCAGGACCACGCCCGCCCCCACCGAGGCGCGGGCCTTGGCCCTTTCATCGGCGATAAAATTGGTGCACTTGCCTCCCGCGAAGGCCAGCAGGAGCCCGGCCAGGCCGGTGACGATGGAGACCACGGTCAGCGCCCGGGCCCCCTGCAGGTCACTGCCCAGGGCCAGCATGGAGTCGTAGACCTTGCACTGCATCTGACCGGTGCTCTGGACCACGCAGCTCATCCACACGCCCTCCCACACGGTCTGCGAGGTGACGATGTTGTTCCCGATGAAGGCGGTGACCCGCCACTGGGGCAGGGCGCACGTGATGATGGTCCCGACCCAGCCCAGGAGGGCCAGGACGCTGCCCAGCATCTGGGCCCCCATGGAGGCCATGGCCGTCTACTCAGAGGGAAGAAGAAGTGAGAAGTGAGAGCCGAACGGGCGTCCGCCGGCGTCCCAGGCAAAAGAAGAATGGGAGGCGCGAGAGGAAACCTTAGAAGGTGCTGCCAGAACAATTCCAGCAGCGCAGGTTTCGGTTGGTTTGGGTTTCAGCGGCTCCTCGGGGGAAAGACGAAAGAGAGGAACGAGGTTTTCCTGGAAGGAATGTCGCAGACGGAGCTGGTTTCCTTGTTGTCTGACTGTTGATTAACAGGCAGTTCAAACAGCTTCCAGGATCCCCCGGGTCTGCAAACGGTCCCAAACCAGCCACTGATTTGTCTCTACCTGAAACCTGGAGCTTTGCTAAACCCAAAAAACCCCAATGCAGCTGGTTTGTTGCATCCTTATAAGTGCTATAAGCTAAAGCAGTTTTAAATTGTTCAAGGTTTCCGGGTTTCTCTGTGGAGTTCGCGGATGTTTTAAAGCTGATTTGATGCAACCCGCAGGAGTAGAAGTCAGTGAAAGTTGCCTGAGGCCGTGTGGGGACGACAGGAATCTGCAGCTCTCAGCATTTCTGCTTCCACTGATGCAGTAAAAAAACAAACAAAAAAAAGGCTTCTCGATCCACCTTTTTTCACTCTGATTCACCAACACAGATTAACCATCAATCAATTTATTTTTTTATAAAAAAAATGAAATAAATAAAAATAAATAGATAAATAAAATAAAAAATAAAGAATAAAAAATAATAGTAGTGATAATAATAATAATGATAATAATAATAATATTAATAATAATCATAATAATAATAATAATAATCATCATAATAATAATAATAACAATAATAACTATGATAATAATAA